TAATCAAACAGAGTGAGCTCAAAGCCTTCCAGAACAGCGACAATTTATATTTGACATTCCTTATAATCTAACATCCTCGGGGTCCATGGATTACGCTCTCTTACGTTTTCTGCACCCCTGGAATATGTCGTGACTAAATCGAAGACTCTGTACGCCCCCATCGTGTCGGTAATACAAGAATTAAGAGAATCGCAGGGCAACGTAACGGTCAGGACGATATACACATGGAAGAATAGCACATAAAAGACGCACTCCAGCGTTGTGGCTACCCCTACTGGTCAATAAATAAGGTGAAAAGAACGGTAAAAAGAAAAGACAGAAAATAGAAAACCGAAACAGAAGAAAAGTAATGAGAGCCAATCCAAAAGCAAAGTCTGGGTCGACACTATACCCTACGCGAAGGGAACATCTGAGGCGTTTGCACGGGTGATGAGAAAACACCATTTCAGCACCCCGATGAGACCACTGACAACCCTCAGACAGTTACCGGTTCACCCCAAAGACAAGACTGACATTTTAGACAAAACAGGAGTTGTATACCAAATTCCACGCAAAAACTGTCAGCAGTCAAATATATGTGAAACTGGGAGTGAATTTGATACACGTCTGAAGGTACATCAAAAGGACGTAGAGAAAATGAGCAACATCACATGAACCAGATCCACGTGCACACGCAAAACATCCGCCACCCAGTACAATAAATCGTCTTTAACAGATCACGCTAACACCCAAAATCATATCGTCGATTGGGACAATGCCAAGATAGTTGAAAGGAAACAACACACAAAAACGAGACAAATCAAAGAACCTATCAAAATCAGGAAAACTCATAACATGAACAGAGACGAGGGGAGACACCAGCTGAGTCATCTGTATGACCCGATACTGACATAACAGGAGGGACTAGATCTACACCCAGCTACCTGTAACCTTTCGATAGGCGAAACGTCCTGGGTCAAGTGACATGAAATATATAATTTCGTCACATTGTTGTACAGGTAAGTAATAATCCATATGTATGTTTTATTCTTAATTGATAAAAATACAGCATGCCTCCATGCAACTATATACATTTGTATGTGGAAACAATGTATGTAGTGAATTGTTTTCTTTTCAGGTGATAATAAACTGTATTTATTGGTTGTAACACTGAGCATCGCTGCGGTGTCTGCTGGAGTATTGGACTATACCAACACCCCCGGTCGTTGGACCTATCCCTGCGGGGTACCTGTGGATATGACGTCATATCATCCGTATGAGGAACAGGTGTCCCGGAACTACGTCATGGCAACATGTATCAGCCTAGAAGAGGCAGTACTACAAAGTGCACCACTGATAAACAAATTAGTAAGTAACTCTTAAATCGAAATTAAAACAGGATACTGGTTATTTGCTTTTTTGTTGAGAATAAACAGAAGAAAACGTTTTAGCATAATTTTAACTATCTTAACATGCCTACCTTTTCTTCCTGTTTGACCTTCCTTGCTATTTGTTTAGGATTTTACGGCCTCGTAATTGCTTAGGTCATATGAAGTCGGTGTCCATAAATATTAAAACCACTCAAGGGCCACTGATAAAGTCGTGGTGTGTTAGAAGTAGGCACTTAAAACGTCGTCTTTAATTGGTTACATTATCTCTTAACACCAGGGTCCAGTAGTTAGCTTCATCACTGTTAAACGACATTTTTCAACCATCTAATTATTTCGTCAATATACAAAGTAAAAACCCGCAATTTTGTATGTAATTTCACCCTGCTAAATATTTTCTATCTAAAAAAAAAGAAAATACTTAATGGTTGAGTGTTTTTTTTAAATACACAAAAAAAAAGTTTGCGCTAATCACCGATTAAGTTAATCACGTTTTAACAACTGAACCCAGGTCTTCATACCTTTGTCGTAATCAGCTCCTTCGAGAACACAATAGCGTGTTTTGTTGAAGGGTCGTCTAGATGTCAAAAGATAAACATAGTTTTTCTCAGAATCAAAATCTTAACGTGACTTTATTTTTACATGTATATAGTTGAGACTAAATAACCTGTGTTTTAAATCTTGCTAAAGCAAACCCGTTATAACAAATTATCATTTAATTTAGATTTTTGAATATGGAATGGAACACATTGATTTGCCTGAGTATGTACTGTCCAATAAGTTGATTTCCTGCTGTTTTTCTGTATTTTACGCATTATTTAATCTTTCGTGTTATAACATTAAGGGATATGCATTCGACCAAATTATGTTATGATTAATTACTATAAATACGAAGGAGAACACTTATTTATTACGTTGCCTGTCGATGCAGAAAGCCAAAAAGTAAATATCTTACTACACCATATGGCCATGTGTTCGAATGAGGTCTCATCAAGGGTTCTAAATTTAAAGGCCTGAAAATGTATCTAAAGTGTTCTAGAACACACACACACACAAACAATAAACAATATAATATATAAAACATAAACAGCGAATACCAACTTTCACTACTATGGATGATTTATTTTGAACTGACATTTTATGTCCACCATGAGACAATAGTCCTACTAGACGGTTACGGTTTGATCATATCTCATTCCTTCGTTAGTATGGTTCAAAATCGAATTGGAAGTAAGCTAACCATAGACACTTGACCTATTCGCAGATGGAATAGGTTTGCTTTAAAATCCAAATGTTCGAAAATATATCATTACATAGACACGTACACTCAATATATAAGCATTACGTTTTCATGTATTTTTCATGTTGAATATTTTTTCACCATAGTCTAAAAATTCATGGTTTAATTTTTTATTCATTTACCGGGTATTTATGTATTATGGTGATGATCGGCCTATCTTCGATAATGATAATAGACATGTTATGCAACTGTAGGGTATACAGAATACAGAAGTACGGCTAAGAAATTAATCAAATTTAATCATTGCTTTAAACAGAAAAATCGTTGACGTTATTCGGAGTATTTTCCTTTTCTCTAAGATTTACTACGTTTCACTGCAAACATTGACATTCAGCTATTTGTCCTTCAAACTGTTTAGCGTTGCTCAGTTATGTATATTATACGTTTTCCATATCAACACAGGTAATACAAAGATTAGGAAACCCTGAACATTTAATGGATGCACTGCGAAATGCGACCCATGATGGACTTCCCCAGGACGATAACTGGGAGATAAATTATCTGCTTTAACCTAGCTGTCGTTCTTTGTCTGTCCATTGGTCTGAAATTACGCAATTGCGGAGGGGCTTTAAACTTAGGTTTGTTATTTCGTGTATCTTTCCAAGTATTAATTTAACATTGGATACTGCTGGAAATGTCTAAAATGTTTGTACACAGCACATAAATAGAACACAATATAACGACACTGGACTATGTATCCAAGGGTGTCTGACGTTATCCTTTTATCTTCTGTTCCTATCAAATTGCTTGAAGATGTGGAAAAACTGGGAATAAGGAATCTCCTCATCCCAATGTTGCGCCACTCCACTGTGTGTTCAACTCCCACTGGTCATCTTTATCTAATTAAAACCTCAAAACTTTTGTTTATTTAGCTGGATTTTGTTTGACTGGATAGTTTAGGACCAATCCTGTTATCATTTTGACGCAGCATAGCAAACAATGTGCCTCCGCAGCAGGTTTTGATCCATCTTGGAAATAGCAGTTATAGTCGTCTAAGATTTCAGGACCTGTCCAAATATCTGTACCATTGGATATATATTTCGTCTTTTGTATCAAGAAGAACACTCTCATCCTATAGAAGCGTGATTAGCTAGTATCTCGTCTTTTGAATTACTTGATTATCAGGTATAGTTGCGTTGAGTCCAAGCCATAAATATTCTATTACAATATCTCCGAATATCGAGTAATGGTCATAATTTGATTTCGAAAATTCACAAGAACATTATATGTATCGTTAACCACTGGCTCTGTTAATTGTTTACCAAGTAATCATTTAAACCTCTTGATCTCATCATGATCATTCTTTGGTGCTTGTGACCTCTTTTGTATTGATAGATTTCCTATTTCCGTTAGGAATTCGTAATAACACGGAATGAGATTATCTAAGTCCGTGGTAATAATAATAACCTCCATGGTCTGCTTGTATATAATTAGTTCCTCTATGGCAACACTGGTCAAATGTACCTGTTAGTCTTTGTAATATAAATTAAGATCCCGAGTTCTACCTGGGCAATTTTTGCTTTCTCTTTTCTATTCTCAAACATTCAAATTTCAAACATCAACGATTCTGCTGTAAGTACATGGCAATATGCTATTTTATGGAAGGTTTCTTTTGAAAATAATTTCAGTTAATATTTCACAGTGCTGACAATGTACAATTCGAACTTATAATTAATCAGTATTTTTGTTCTGGGGAACCTCTTTAATTTTTGAAAATCTGCTTTCTGAAGCGGTCAACAAAGTAAAGAAAATATCTATCATTAGTAATAGGCCTACTTCATCAGTGGCGGATCAAGAGGGGGTTTTTTTTGGGGGGGGGGGG